GGGGGGGGGGGGGGGGAGGGGGGTGGGGCCATGATCTCAGCAACAGCGCCATTCTTCCAAGCAAAGCAATTAATTTGGATTACGAAATTGATTAATTGAAGAAGGGTTATTCACATCCATTACTGGGAAGGAGTTGGGGTTATAAGGTGAGGTTGGCTTTATTTCTGAGCTGCCAGTGAGGGGGTGCACACTGCCAGCTGCCTCCCCTAGCTTCTGGTGTCGGAGCTGCGTGCCGGAACATTCCAGTGTTCCTGTGGCCTGTTCTACATAATGCTGTCATTTTGGTATTTCTGGTCCGGAACCCTCGCTTTGATGCTTATATCACTTCCAGTACGTATCTGGCTGCTCTGAGGGATGCTGTTCAGGGCTTCAGTACCAAATTAATATCACTCTTTTCTGTTCCTCTTGGAGATATCTGTTACTTTCCCCCTCGTCTTTCGTGATGATATTACCATACGCGTCTCTTCTCAGTTTTCAGTATTTTTTAGTATATCTGCTATGTAATATCTAAGCTACCCAGCAGTGTTGCTTTGTCTAACCAGCAGTGATTTCGCTATTACTCTCCTCTGGCCTTGCTTAGTGGTGTCACTACATTCTCACCCTCAGTCATACCAGTGCGATTCTCACCTCAGCTTAAGTTATTGGGGTCTCACTCTCCTCTGGCCTCGCTGAATAGTTTTAGCAACGTTCTATGGCCTGTTAGTCTGAGTGTGACCCCCTCCTCTCTTTCAGCCTGCCCCCCTGGCTCATACAAGATGTCATCCCAGCAGCAGGAGTGCTTCCCATGCCCTCGGCACAGCATCACCGAAGAGGAAGGCTCTGTGCTCTGCGTGTGTGAGAAAGGCCATTACCGGACGCCGCTGGACAGTCCGGCGTCCGCTTGCACACGTAAGGATCAGCTCTCACGCCTGGTCTACTTCCTCACCCTCATCTATCTGACTGGTTGGTTTGTTTTGGAATCTTTCTCCAAAAATACACTGTTCAAAGATGGCAACAGTGCTTGTGCTATGTGGAGATGGGCAACAGTGATTATCTCTAGAGAAGTGCTTCTGTGTGTACAACCGGCAGCAGTGTTTGGTTTACAGTGTTTTTGTGTGCAGTGTACAACAGGCAGCGGTGTTTGGTTTACAATGTTTCTGCCTGCAGTGTAACATGGGCAGTAGTGCTTCATTTACAGTGATTCTGTCTATAGTGTAGAACAGGCAGCGGTGTTTGGTTTACAGTGATTCAATCTGCAGTGTACAACAGGCAGCTGTATTTAATTTACAGTGATTCTGTGTGCTGTGTACAACAGGNAGTAGTGCTTCATTTACAGTGATTCTGTCTATAGTGTAGAACAGGCAGCGGTGTTTGGTTTACAGTGATTCAATCTGCAGTGTACAACAGGCAGCGGAGTTTGGTTTGCAGTGTTACTGTATGCAATATGCAACAAGCAGCGGTGTTTGGTTTACAGTGTTTCTGCCTGTAGTGTAAAACGGGCATCAGTGCTTCATTTACAGTAATTCTGTCTATAGTGTAGAACAGGCAGCGGTGTTTGGCTTGCAATTATTCTATCTTCAGTATAGAACAGGTAGCGGCTTTTGGTTTCCAGTGATTCTGTCTGCAGTATAGAACAGATAGCGGCATTCCATTTATCATGCTTGTCTGCAATGTAGAACAGGCAGCAATGTTTGATTTACAGTGTTTGTGTCAGCAGTGGCGTTTGGTTTACAGTGATTCTGTTTGCAGTGTAGAACAGCCAGTGGTATTTGGTTCACAGTGATTTTCTATCTACAGAGTAGAACAGGCAGTGGTGCTTGGTTGACAGTGTTTTTGTTTACAGCAGAGACAGACATGCTGTGTCTCAGTGGTTAGATTTGCCCAAAGTGCACAAACACACTTACACATGCATATGGACACACTTCCCAGAGATTTGCTTGCAGTCCCTCTCTTTCCCACATCACACACACACACACACACACACACACACACACACACATACAGGTTTGTAATTATATCTTTGTGGGGACTCTCCATTCATTTCTATGGAGAAAACCCTAATCCCAATATGATGGACTTAACTCTTACCCAGCCCTAAGCTTAACCATAAGTAACCAAACAAAATATAAGACTTTTGGTATTTTTAGTTTTTTGACTGCAGTCACAGATTTTTATAGAATTGAGTTTCCCCTTTGGGGACCGAAAAAATGGTTTGGTTTTTATCACATTGTGGCGACCAAATGTCCTCACAATGTAATGTATGCCTGGACTACATACACAGGCACACACACTACACAGCTGACACACACACACACTACACAGCTATCATACACACACACGAACGCACACACTACACAACTAACACACACACAAACATTTGGCATTTTTAGTTTTTTGATTGCATTCACAGATCTTTGTGGGGACATTTGGTTCCCATAGTGTATATCTGACCCACACACACACACGGCATGTAGTCAGTAAGCCATGCGTTTCCGGGCAGACTCTCCATCAGCCTCGCTTAATTCCCAGAGCGAGGGCACAGAAGGACATTGCACAAACAGCTCATCCTTCATACTGAACACGAGAAGCAGAAGCACTTCAGTAGGTGAAAACGACTCTGCGTGATGTTTGGGAAACCATCAACTCTTCACTCTCATTTATTCATCAGTCTGCTTTTGTGTTGTTGGCATATATTCCGCAGAAAAAAATGTAATGCAGAGTGCATTTCATACAGTCTGTCTCCAATAGTGATGATGGATTTTAATAAATATTTTGTGCATTTGACGGTGTGCTGCTTATCTAATAGCCTGACTTTTTTTTCCAGTTCTTGTATTATTACCCAAAATGAGTGGCTCCATAGGGAGCAGAGTCGTCCCTCCCTTCACTGTGAATAAACAAAACGACTGTGGCTGCTGTGAGGTGCTGACTGAACCGTCTGGGGCGGTGTGCTTACGGAGGCCTCCCGAAGGCGACCAGGAAGACACTGGTCCCACGTAGAGGAGCAGAGGAGTTCCTCAAGGGCTCGTGGGGGGGGCACTGGCAAAGCCGGAGGGGGGCTGTTAATCACACTGTTTCGGAGTGGCCCCCCCACGCGCATTAGTTGGCGGGAGGGCACATCAAAGCCTTTCTGTTACAGGCATTAAACAGCAGCTGACGCCAAAGTCATGCGCGTGTCTCTTCCCCACGCTCAGGGCCTGTCTTGTTCACTTTGTCTGCCCCCGGGGTCCCGTTGCTGCCCCCTCTAATCCGCCGCCCCACTTTTCCTCTCCATGGTGACTTTGTCAGTTGCTCTGTTTGTTCAGGACACGTTTCTTTCCGCTGTGACTGTTGACGGAGCGCACAGTGGCGGCTCTGCATGCTGCCTGACCAACACACCAGCGTCGATAATCACACGGGGGCGACATGACGGGGAGGGGAGTGTTTGGTGACATTGGTGGGGGGGAGAAAGCAGGCCAGCAGGAAATTTGGACCTCAGGTGTCGAGCGTGCCCTTGGGGGAACGACCAGGGTGCCGCAGGCCGGTGCATTGCTGTGGGCAGAAGCATGTGCTACTCTCATGGAGAAGAAATGTTGAACAAAGCTTTGAGGGATGCCGGCAGTGGCACTGAGGCAGTGGCTGATTATGACGATGATGTTAACAGAGCACCCTGCTGTCTGCCTCCCCAGGCCCCCCCTCTCCCCCCAGGAACCTCATCTACACATTGAAGCAGTCCACGCTGGTGCTGGAGTGGACCCCCCCGGCCGACACCGGGGGCCGCGGTGACCTGTCCTACAGTGTGGGCTGCATCCGCTGCCCGGGGCAGGGACCTGTGCCCCGATTGGCTGAGTCAGTGGCTGGGGTGAGGCCTGGGCAGGAGGCGGGGTCTCCTGGAGAATGTGAGCCCTGTGGGGCCAACGTGGGCTTCCTGCCCCAGCAGAGCGGCCTGACGGAGCACAGTGTCACCGTGCTGCACCTGCTGCCTGGCTCCAACTACACCTTCACCGTGGAGGCCCTGAACGGCGTGTCCGACATGCTGCGCAGCCTGAGGTCCTACGCCCAGGTCCACGTGTCAACCAGCCTATCAGGTAGGCCGGAGGGTGGTGATGTCAGAGGGGGGCGGGGGTTTCTGCTCTTCCATGGTCGAAGTGCACAGTACCGGGAGTCGCAGAGAGCACAGGCGTCAGCGTTTGGTGTCACCGAGCGGATGGCATTGCAGACAGCTCCGTTATGTTATGCAGGAACTGTGGCGGGATAGTGCCATTTGCTTGATGGGGGCTACTGGACATCCTCCTGGGCTCGGGTGTGACGGCTGGAAATGCTTCTTTAAATTAGATAATGAGCCACATGCGTTGACAGGGCATTAATATCTCTCTGACTGTGTGGTGTTAATGGGTGTGTGTCTGTCTGTCTGTCTGTGTCTTTGTGTGTGTGTGTGTGTCTATGTGTGTGTGTGTGTCTCAGTGTGCGTGTCTGTGTGTGTGTCTATGTGTGTGTGTGTGTGTGTCTCAGTGTGTGTGTCTCTGTGCGTGTCTGTGTATGTGTGTGTGTGTGTCTCAGTGTGTGTGTCTCTGTGCGTGTCTGTGTATGTGTGTG